TGCCTTCAGGCCTAGTAGTTCAACAGTCTAGACCGTGCAATAACCTGGTCCTGAAGGAGGTGGTCTCCATGGAGCACAAAAGGATATGAGAGATTGTCTGATACTTGCGAATATGTGGAAATAGTATTGCTATATTAGTGTAATTAATGGAACAATTGAAGTAAAACAATTCTAAACATATAGAAAAATAAGAAAACAATAAAGTGAATGAGCAATTATTAACTTTAAGAAAAACAAAAAAGATATGAAAATAAGGTAGAAATATTCTAAGCTATTTGTCTCATTTGTAATAATTGTTTATTACTCAGTAACAAGGAAAATTTAATGGAAAATTATGATGAAACTATATTTGGAAGACATGTTTGGTGGAGTCTCTAATAAAGTTCTAAAGAAGTATTGTAAAGAATGAAAACCCAGTCAAGAGAAAGATGACTAACATTCATAAATCAAGAAGCATCAATTTAAACATATTATTTAACACAAAAATAAATACTAAAATACTACTAAAACAATAGATGAAAATGCTAAATGAGAACTGGAAGTTGGAGAGGGATAAGACAAATAGCTGTTGCTTTTTTGAAAAAAAAATCCTTTGGCACTATTTTAAAACAATCTGTATGCAATATTTTATATACAAACATTATTTTTTTAAAAATTCAATAGAAACAATTAGGAACTTCAAAGATCAAACTGAGGAACTGGTCCATACTTCAGAGCATAAATAAGATGAAATCAAAATCATTAACAGAAAAATACAAGAAAGTACAAAAAAATAGAAGTAATTAAGATAAGACTCAGAAAAATCGCAAAATATCATTATATATGAGTAAATCAAATGAGGGAGTAATAAAGAAGTAACGTTTTTTTAAAACATTCTTCTGTTGATGAAAAATAGTAGCTCTCAGATTCAATTCAGTTCAGTCACTCAATCGTGTCTGACTCTTTGCGACCCCATGGATTGCATCACGCCAGACCTCCCTGTCCATCACCAACTCCCGGAGTTTGCTAAAACTCATGTCGTATTGCCATCCAATCATCTCATCCTCTGTCGTCCCCTACTCCTCACACCTTCAATCTTTCCCAGCATAAAGGTTTTTCAAATGAGTCAGTTCTTCGCATCATGTGGCCAAAGCATTGGAGATTCAGCTTCAGCATCAATCTTTCCAATGAATATTCAGGACTGATTTCCTTTAGGATTGACAGGTTGGATCTCCTTGCAGTCCAAGGGACTCTCACGAGTCTTCTCCATCACCACAGTACAAACCCATCAATTCTCTCATGCTCAGCTTTCTCTATAGTTCAACTCTCACAGCCATACATGACTGCTGGAAAAACTATAGCTTTGACTAGATGGATCTTTGTTGGCAAAGTAATGCCTCTGCTTTTTAATATGCTGTCTGGGTTGGTCATAACTTTTCTTCCAAGGAGCAAGCGTCTTTTAATTTCATGGCTTCAGTTACCATCTGCAGTGCTTTTGGAGCCCAAATAAATAAAGTCTGTTACTGCTTCCACTGTTTCCGCACCTTTTTGCCATGAAATGATGTGGCCAGATGCCATGATCTTAGTTTTCTGAATGTTGAGCTTTAAGCCAGCTTTTTCACTCTCCTCTTTCTGTTTCATCAAGAGGCTCTTTGTTTCTTCACTTTCTACCATAAGTGTAGTTTCATCTGCATATCTGAGGTTATTAATATTTCTCTGGGAAATCTTGACTCCAGCTTGTGCTTCATCCAGTCCAGCATTTTTCGTGATGTACTCTGCATATAAGTTAAATAAACAGGGTAACATTATACAGCTTTGATGTACTCCTTTTCTATTTGGAACCAGTCTGTTGGTCCATGTCAAGTTCTAACTGTTGTTTCCTGACCTGCATACAGATTTCTCAGGAGGCAGGTGAGGTGGTTTGGAATTCCCATCTCTTGAAAAATTTTCCACAGTCTGTTGTGACCCACACAGTCAAAGGCTTTGGCATAGTCAATAAAGCATAAATAGATGTTTTTCTGGAACTCTATTGCTTTTTCAATGATCCAGCAGATGTTGGCAATTTGATCTCTGGTTCCTCTGCCTTTTCTAAAACCAGCTTGAACATCTGGAAGTTCATGTATTGCAGAATCCTGGCTTAGAGAATTTTGAGCATTACTTTACTAGCATGTGGGATGAGTGCAATTGTATGGTAGTTTAAGCATTCTTTGGCATTGACTTTCTTTGGGATTGGAATGAAAACTGACCTTTTCCAGTCCTGTGACCACTGCTGAGTTTTCTAAATTTGCTGGCATGTTGAGTGCAGCACTTTAACAGCACCATCTTTCAGGATTTGAAATAGCTCAACTGGAATTCCATCTCATCCCCTAGCTTTATTCATAGTGATGCTTCCTAAGGCCCACTTGACTTCATATTCCAGGATGTCTGGCTCTAAGTGAGTAATCACACCATCATGATTATCTGGGTAGTGAAGATCTTTTTTGTACAGTTCTTTTGTTTATTCTTGCCACCTCTTCTTAATATCTTCTGCTTCTTTTAGGTTCCTACCATTTCTGTCCTTTATTGAGCCCATCTTTGCATGAAATGTTCCCTTGGTAGCTCTAATTTTCTTGAAGAGATCTCTAGTCTTTCCCATTTTATTGTTTTCCTCTATTTCTTTGCATTGATCACTGAGGAAGGCTTTCTTATTTCTCCTTGCTATTCTTTAGAACTCTGCGTTCAAATGGGTATATCTTTCCTTTTCTCCTTTGCTGTTTGCTTATCTTTTTTTCGTAGCTATTTTTAAGTCCTCCTCAGACAACAATTTTGCCTTTTTGCACTTCTTGTTCTTGGGGATGATCTCCTGTACAATGTCACAAACCTCCATCCATAGTTCTTCAGGTACTCTGTCTATCAGATCTAATCCCTTGAATCCATTTGTCACTTCCACTGTATAACAAGGGATTTGATTTAGGTCATACCTGAAGGGTCTAGTCGTTTACCCTACTTTCTTCAATTTAAGTTGAATTTGGCAATAATAAGTTCATGATCTGAGCCACAGTCAGCTCCCGGTCTTGTTTTTGCTGACTGAATAGAGCTTCTCCATCTTTGGTTGCAAAGAATATAATCGATCTGACTTCAGTGTTGGCCATCTAGTGATATCCATGTGTAGAGTCTTCTCTTTTGTTTTTGGAAGAGGGTGTTTGCTATGACCAGTGTGTTCCCTTGGCAAAACTCTATTCGCATTTGCCCTGCTTTATTCTGTAGTCGATTGCCAAATTTGCCTGTTACTCCAGGTATTTCTTGACTTTCTACTTTTATGTTCCAGCCCTGTATCAGGTAGAGGACATCTTTTTTTCATGTTAGTTCTAGAAGATCTTGTAGGTCTTCATAGAACTGTTCAACTTCAGCTTCTTCAGCATTGCTGGTTGGGGCATAGACTTGGATTACCTTGATACTGAATGGTTTGCCTTAGAAATGAACAGAGATCATTGTGTCATTTTTGAGACTGCACCCAAGTACTACATTTTGGAGTCTTATTGACTATGATGGCTATTCCATTTCTTCTAAGGAATTCTTGCCCACAGTAGTAGATATAATGGTCATCTGAGTTTAATTCACTCATTCCAATCAATTTTTGTTCACTGATCCCTAAAATGTCAATGTTCACTCTTGCCATCTCCTGTTTGATCACTTCCAATTTGACTTGATTCATGGACCTAACATTCCAGGTTCCTATGCAATATTGCTCTTTACAGCATCGGACTTTACTTCCATCACCAGTCATGTCCACAACTTGGTGTTGTTTATGCTTTGGCTCTGTCTGTTCATTCTTTCTTGAGCTATGACTCAACTGATCTCCAGTAGCATGTTGGGCACCTACCAACCTGGGGAGTTCATCTTTCAGTGTCCTATCTTTTTGCCTTTTCATCCTGTTCATGGGGTTCTCAAGGCAAGAATACTGAAGTGGTTTGCCATCCCAGTCTCCAGTGGACCACATTTTGTCAGAACTCTCCACTGTGACCCATTCATCTTGGGTGGCCTTACACAGCATGGCTCATAGTTTCAGTGAGTTAGACAAGGCTGTGGTCCATGTGATCGGATTGGTTAGTTTTCTGTGGTTGTGATTTTCAGTTTGTCTGCCCTCTGATGGAGAAGGATAAGAAGCTTATGGAAGCTTCCTGATGGGATAGACTGACTGAAGGGGAAACCAGGTCTTGATTAAACTGGTTTTCAGATTAAATGAACTCAAAAATCTTATTCAAAATTAATGTGGAAAGATGCACATATTTTGGTTTAAATTTCTGAGCACAATAAGGAGAGATTTGCAAGCCTCCAGACTGAAACAGAGTTATAGAATTTGTAGGGTGGGATGGAAGTAGATTCTAAAGAAAGCATTGTACCACAAAGATCCAGAGAAGACAAAATAAGGTTTCCTTAGAAGTTGAGAGTAATCGAGATGGATGGCAAGAGTTTAAAATATAGTCAATGACCACAAAGGAAAACAAAACTGAATCACTAAAAGAACAATGTACAACTGGAGCATATACTTTGTATACATTATACATTCTTTCCTTTTCTCCCTTCATTTTTTTTTAAACAATAATTTCTATACCTTCTTTACTAAAAGTTGAAGAATTCAGATTTCAGATTCAGTGCTAACTATTATTGGGGGAAGAAATTAATTCCAGTAGCATTGTAACAAATAGATTATGTCACCATTAGGTTATCATAACTATTCATATTCTCTCATAACATTTAATAAAATATTATGATTTTTTTCATTTGTCTCAATAAAAATTCTAAATAAATCCTAGAGTAGGCATCGCTGCTTCAATGATATGCTGAGTTTGATTATTACATATTAAAATTTGGACCAAGAAATATTACTCAACATTGCATGCAAATTGTTTATCTAGTAAGATATGATGTAAAGTGACTAAACAAACATAAAAACTAAGTTAAGGTCTCATTAATGAAAAGCAGTTTAATCAGTTACTCAAACTGTTTGCTAATATATCTTTCTACCATTTTTGCCTCAGGGTTATGATGATGGCTATGGGGGTGAATATGATGATGAGACCTATGAGGCTTATGACAATAGCTATGCCATCCAAGCTCAAAGGTAAGGTATACGTTGTCTAAAGCATCCTTCTTGGGATGATTTCTAATCTTGCTATTTTGTTTCTTGTATCTGAATATTAGTTACATTTTGTGAAAGTTTCTAGCAGTGGATTTAATTTATTGTCCTTCTGAATTATCAAATTGCTTACTAGACTGTGAGAAATAAAAGATAATGATCTTGCAATTGGTAATAATGAAATAGTAGTGTGCAATTTTAAGACTAGGTGATTACCATAACTAATCAACTCATTATGTGAGTTTGTATTTAAAAAATACTGGTAGTGTTATAGTGTTTTTTTTTTTTTAGTGAATTCATAATTAAGACAATAATAAAAACAAATCTCTTGTTTAGTGGGGCTATATTGCCAGAAATTTAATTTTGATCTTTAAGACAAAAGATAGGAGAATATTGGTGCTCTGAAAAGAGAAAAATTCTTAAAACATCTTATGGAATCAAGAATTTATTTCTTTTAACTGATTTTAAAATTTCCAACAAACAGAAGTCTAAGACCAGATAGCTTCACAAACAAACTCTAAAAAACATTTAGAAGAGAACTAACACCTGTCCTTCTGAAATCATTCCAAAAGTCTCAGAGAAAGGAAAACTCCCAAACTCATTCTAGAAGGCCACTAGTACCCTGATACCAATACCAGACAAAGATACAGCAAAAAAAGGAAATTACTGGCCAATATCACTGATGAAAATAGATGGAAAAATCCTGTACAAAATACTAGCAAGTTCCATTAAAGCATCATACACCATGATCATGTGGTATTTATCCTAGGGATGCAAAGAATTTTCAATATCAGCAAATCAATGTGTAATGTACCACATCAACAAGTTGAAGAATATAAACCATATGATCACTCCAGTGGATACAGAAAAGGCTTTTTACAAAATTCAACACTCAGTTATGATAATAACTCTCCAGGAAGTGGGCATAGAAGGAGCATACCTCAACATAATAGAGACCATATATGACTAACCTACAGCTAACATCATACTCAATGGTGAAAAACTGAAAGCATTTTCTCTAAGATCAGTAATAAGACAAGGATTTCCACTCTTGTACTTTTATTTAACATAAGTTTGGAAGTATTAGATTTGGAAATCAGAGAAAAAGAAAAGAAATAAAGGGAACACAAATTGGGGGGGGAAAAAGTGAAACTGTCATTGTTTGTATACCACATGATACTATATATAGAAAATCCTAAAGATGCCACCAGATAGCTCAGTTCAGTTCAGTTCAGTTCAGTCACTCAGTTGTGTCTGACATTTTGCGACTCCACGGACTTCAGCACACCAGGCTTCCCTGTCCATCACCAACTACTGGAACTTACTCAAACTCATGTCCATTGAGTCAGTGATGCCATCCAGTCATCTCATCCTCTGCTGTCCCCTTCTCTTCCCACCTTTAATCTTTCCCAGCATCAGGGTCTTTTCAAATGAGTCAGCTCTTTGCACCAGGTGGCCAAAGTTTTGGAGTTTCAGCTTCAGTATCAGTCCTTCCAATTAATATTCAGGACTGATTTCCTTTAGGATTAACAGGTTAGTTCTCCTTGCAATCCAAGGGACTCACAAGAGTCTTCTCCAACACCACAGTTCAAAAGCATCAATTCTTCAGTGCTCAGCTTTCTTCATAGACCAACTCTCATATCCATACATGACTACTGGAAAAACCATAGCTTAGACTAGATGGACTTTTGTTGGTAAAGTAATGTCTATGTTTTTTAATATACTGTCTAGGTTGGTCATAGCTTTTCTTCCAAGGAGCAAGTGTCTTTTAATTTCATGGCTGCAGCCACCATCTACAGTGATTTTGGAGCCCCCCAAAATAAACTCTCTCACTGTTTCCATTGTTTCCCCACCTATTTTCCATGAAGTAATTGGACCAGATGCCATGATCTTAGTTTTCTGAATGTTGAGTTTTAAGCCAACTTTTTCACTCTTCTCTACCACTTTATTAAGAGGTTCTTTAGTTCTTTGTTTCTGCTGTAAGGGTAGTGTCATCTGCTAATCAGTGAATTTGGCTAATCAGTGTTTCAAGATGCAAAATTAACACACAGAAGTCTATTGCCTTTCTACACACTAGCAAAGATCAGAAAAAAGAAACCAAGGAAACAATCCAATTGCTGCAGTTAATTAATTAAATAACCTATCTAGGGAGGCAAAATACATTTACTCTGAAAGCTGCAAGAGACTATAAGAAAACTATAAGAAAGAAAGGATGAAAGGAGGAAAGAAAGAAATGATTACACAAATGGATGGAGTAAAGATATACCATGTTCTTGGACTAGAAGAATCAATATTTTCAAATGACTATACTACCTATGGGAATCTACAGATTCAGTGCAATTGCTCTCAAATTACCAATTCCATTTTTCACAGAACTAGAATTTTTTAAAGTCTTAAAATTTCTGTGGAGATGCAGAAGACCTCAAATAGTTAAAGAAATCTCCAAACAAAAATGGAGCTGGAGAAATCAGGCTGCCTGACCTCAGACTATACTACAAAACTACAGTCATCAAAAGAGTATGATACTGGCACAATAACAGAAATAAAGATCAATAAAACAGGATGGAAAGCCCAGAAATAAACTCACAAACCTATGGTCAATTAATCTATGATAAAGGAGGCGAGAATATATAATGGAGAAAAGACGGTCTCTTCAATTAGTGGTGCCGAGGAAACTGAACAACTACATGAAAAAGAAGGAAATTAGAAAAAAATTTAATGTCATACACAAAAACAAACTCAAAATGGATCAAAGATCTAAATGTAAGGCCTGATAATATAAAAAATATTAGAGGAAAATATAGGTAGAATACTATTTGACGTAAATCATAACAATGTACTTTCCCCTCTGTCTCTTAGAGTAAGGGACATAAAAATGAAAATAAACAAATGGGATCTAACCAAACTCAAAATCTTTTGCACAGAAAAAGAAACCTAAGCAAAGGAAAAGAAAACCCACAAAATGGGTGAAAATATTTGCAAAGTATGTGACCAGCAAGGGATTAATCTCCAAAATTACAAACGGGTCACACAGCTCAGTATCATAAAAGAAGCAATCAAAAATGGGCAGAAGACCCTCTTAAACAGACATTTCTCTGAAGAAGACATACAGATGGCCAACAGGTGAATGAAAATGTGTTCAACATCATAATGATTAGAGAAATGCAAATCAAAACCACAAGGAGGTATCACCTCACATCAGTCAGAATGGCCATTATCAAAAAACTCTGTCAACTATAAATGCTGGAGAGGATGTGGAGAAAAGGGAGTCCTCCCACACAATTGGTGGGAATGTAAATTGGTGAAACCACTATTGAGACTAATAAGAAACTAAAAGAGCTACCATATGATCTAGCAATCCCACTCCTGGGCTTATATCCAGAGAAGAACATGATTTGAATGGATACATGCATTCCAATGCTTGTTGCAATAGCCAAGACATGGAAGCAACATGAATGCCCATTGACAGAAGAATAGATAAATAAAGAAAAATTGGTACATATATACAATAGAATATTAATCAGCTTAACAAGAATCAAAGATTATCATACTAAGTGAAGTAAGCCAGACAAAAACAAACATCATATGAGATTGATTATATGCACAATCTAAAATAAATGATACAAATGAATGTATTTACAAAACAGAAACAGAATCACAAACTTAGAGAATGAATTTATGGTTACCAGGGGTGAAGAGTTGAGGGAGGGAGAGTTTGGAAATTTGGGATTGACATGTACACACTGCTATATTTAAAATAGATAACCAACATGAAGACTCTTGAGAGTCCCTTGGGTTTCAAGGAGATAAAACCAGTCAATCCTAAAGTAAATCAACCCTGAGTATTCATTGGAAGGACTGATGTTGAAGCTGAAGCTCCAATAATTTGGCCACCTGATGCTAAGAGCCAGCTCATTTGAAAAGACCCTGATGCTAGGAAAGATTGAAGGCAGGAGCAGAAGGGAACAGAAGATGAGATGGTTGGATGGCATCACCAATTCAATGGTCATGAGTCTGAGCAAGCTCTGGGAGTTGGTGATGGGCAAGGAAGCCTGGCGTGCTGCAGTCCATGGGGTCACAAAGAGTCGGACATGACCGAGTGACTGAACTGAACTAAATGAACATGAACCTACTGTCTAGCACAGGAAACTGTTCAATATTATACAATAACCTAAATGGGAAAAGGATTTGAAAAAGAATAGATGCATACATATGTATAACTGAATCACTTTTCTCTACACCTGAAAATAATGCAATGTTGTTAATCAACTCTTCTTTAATGTAATATGATTTTAAGAAAGTGAATTACAGGCTCAATATATGAATTTTAGGACACAAATATTCAGTCTGTAGAAATTGTATTTCTTCAAGCCTTTTCCCTCATTTTTGTGTTCAAATAACCTGCAATTGTTACATAGAGACAACATATTTTCATAAAATTTAGTATGAAGGGACTGGAGGGATCATCAAAAATAAAAGTGAATTACAATTAAAAAAACAAACAGAATTCTTCCCCTTCTTAGTGAATATCTTAGAGATTATTGAATAAATCTCTCTCTATAGACTCAAAATCTGTGGTAAAATGAATTTCTACTTTTTAAAAGTTGGATTTATTGAAGTACTATATTTACATATGGTAAAATTTGCCCATCTAGGCTACAGTTGTTATAAAAGTTTGAGCAATACAATCCATCATTATGCCAACATTATGATATAGGGCTTTTTAAATAAACCCCAAATGTTTCCATACTGCTCTTTAGGGTCAACATTTTCCACAGCTGAGGCCCTGGGAACCATGATTCACTTTGCCACTGTAGTTTTCTAGAATGTCGTATAAGAAGAAGCAATAAAAAGTGTAGCGTTTTCCATCTGCCTTCTTATTCATTCCATATCTACTCCTGTTGTTGTGCGTGTTAGTGTTCTTTCCCTTTTAACTATGATGTGGCATTTCACTGTAAGGATGTACTACAGTGTCCTCATTCACC